GAGACCAAAATACAGGGTGCTTATAAAGTCCCAGGCCCAGTTTGATGTTTAAGGGGGCTCATACACCTTAAACCCCTTATGATCTTCGAATATGTGACTGTTGCAAGAATTGGGATAATTCATTTATTTTAAAAGCAATTACTTCCAACGTTTTACAGCTAACTACATAATATAGCTGCTTTAGAAACTAGTAACCAGAAAGTTTGTGTTGCCACAAATATTTTTGTAATTTAATCCGCTTTGTGACAAAAGTTTTCGTCATGTTTCCACCTTGCGCGCATGATATTTTAAAAATGGCTAATGGTACATACTTGAAATTCAATGGAAGTGTTTATATGGACAATATTTTCTAACTGAACCGAAAATTTAATGCATATTGTAGTATTAAAAAAATTATGCACGAAAGCATTACAGATTTTTTTTAATAAAATACATTTTATAAACTCAACTCCAAATAAAATAAAAAATTAACATGAAATTCTTAGAATTTTAGGTTCACAGTAGTTTCCAAATGTTATAAAAGCTATATATTAAATATGAAATTAAATTATACAACAGAATGTTTTAAACTGTGCGCGTAAGGTGGAAACTTGACGAAAGGTTTTGTCACAAAACGGATTAAATTATAAAAATATTTGTGGCAACACAAACTTTCAGATTACTATTTCCGAAAGTAGCTATATTATGTTGTCAGCTGTAAAAATTTGGAAGTAATTGCTTTAAACAAGTTATCCCAATTCTTGCAACAGTCACATATTCAAAGATCTTATGCGTTTGAAGGTGTATGAGTCCCCTTAATAACTCATAAAATAATGAAGATATAAGCAAACCTATGGCATTTATTGATGGAATAACTTATATAGTTTCCTTTTTCAGGTTTGAATATCTTTACTTTTGTAAACATCGTCTTAGCGTGTGGTTAATTTCATTTTCCAGTCTAAATATCTGTACTTTTCTAAATATCGTCTGCTTATTAATTGCATTTTTCTCTCTTTTGATCCATTCATTTTTCTGGCATTGTTAATTGCCATAATGTGCGCATATGGGGATCTGAAAACCCCCATGAATACCGTGAGGCACAAAGGGATTCCCCAAAGGTTAATGTGTGGTGTGGGCCGATGGCTCGACCGAGTCATTGAGCCTTTCTTTTTTTTACAGAAAAGACCGTCTCGTCAATCGTATACTTAGACATGTTGAAAAACTTCGTATTTCCACAACTAGAAGAGCTTCATCCACATGTCTTTTTGCAACAAGATGGTGCACCACCTTCATTGGGGTACCATCGTTCGTAGTTCTTTGATTGACCATTTTACAGGAAGATGGATTGGACGAGGAGGTCCAATCCCTTGGCCACCCAGATCACCTGATATAACGCCGCTGGACTTTTTCCTTTGGGGATTTGTAAAGGACAACGTTTACAGGAGGAGAGTGTCAAACCTGGATGACTTAAAAGCCAGAATTACAACCGCATCTGTGGATGCCGACATGCTTGCCGGTACCTGGTGTAAAATTGAATATGGACTTGATATTCTCCGTGCGACGAAGGGGGCACACGTGGAAGTTCATTAACAAGGGTCATGAAACTTTTTGAATCTATCTAACCATTTATGTCATTAATTTTAATATACCTTTATTATTTTATGAGTTATTAAACATCAAAATGGGTCCGGGACTTTATAAACACCCTGTATTAGTGTTGTTAACAACAACCTTCCTGCTAGTGCTTCCAAACCAGATAATAAGTCTGTATATATACAAATATAGATTTTCATCTATCCATTTACGAACAAATATGATAGCAGCCAATTCGGCTTGAAAAACCGAACTGTAAGGTTTAAGTCTAGCCATAGTCTCTTCCTGTACCAAATAAGTAAACCACATAAATGACGCGCTAATTCCATTGTCATAACCCGAACCGTCAATAAACATATCCAATTAACCTACGCAAACATTTGGTCTCCCCATGCTTTTCTTAATGAAGGATGTATACTGTTAATCTTAAACGCAAAACCGCCCAGAAAAATTGTAAGGAAAACTGGCTCGTATCCACGTTACACATAAGGGAAAACCACGAAAATGCCCAGGCAGCCAGTCCGATCACCTGGATTCGAACCCCGGACCGAACTACCAGTTTTCAGCGACTTTAACCGCTCGGTCGCTAGTGAACGTGAACTCAGTGTATTTTGAATGCAGCAGTTCTGCTAATCGAGTATGAGTATCAAATTTGGCTTCTTCACCATAAAATCTACACGTGAATCCATTAAACTTCATACTCTTTCCCAAATTGAAATAGCATGAACGGCGTTTTCAATACAGAAATAAGTTTCTTCCGCGGTTACTCAAGCCGTGTTCAAACTTGGCACCCAACTACGAATAAATAGCAAATCTTTTGAGACATTTGTTTGCCGATTCTGAGAAGCAATACTATTACACAGAGGGCACATGTAAGAAGGGGAAACAACTTGAAATAAAAATAAATTCGAGAGAAAAATTGTAGAAACAACAGGTTACTTCGAAGCAGGATACGTGAAAAATGGGAAATGCTCTTCCCGGGACTCGAACCATAGATCTCACGAATACGCGACGAGCGTGCTGACCACTACACCGCAAAGACATACTACGAAGGTGGGAGAAATACCTTATAAAGTATCTGATTTGGACACCACGCGATTTCCTTCTGCGGACTATCAAACTATACACAATTTTTGCTGCACCTTATTTAAGCTTATTTCCTCGAATTTCATTAAAGATATATTTCTCATTCAATTTATTCTGTCCTCACTTTGCGAGAAGGCAAAGTCGACCCCCAATACGAGAATCGCCGCCAGGACATAGCGCCCACAACGAAGTACAACTTTGTGTTTGTGATGTTAAAATGTATTCCCAAAATCTACTCGAGCCCCCTATCATGGGAGTCCACCCGCAGTTTTGTGGCGGGCCCCAACCGCTTCCAGTTCAGGAAAAGTTGCTGTCCCCCCACCCCGTCGAGGCTGACCCACACACGAGCCAAAAGTTACATGTTAAGATTACCTTGTAACTTCGTGTTCTGTTAAGCTGCGTTCAGACGATGGAATAGTTTAAGCCGAGCTGCGTTGCCAGGCAACCAGTCTGCGCTACGTCACCAAATCTAGTTTAGGGCTCTTGGCATAAAGTTCGAAATTTTCAACTTTATGCCGAATTGGGATAAGCGGCGACCAATCAATGCGAATGCGCGAAAGCTGAATGGGAAACAAAGCGGTAAAAGCTGTACACACATCCCCTCATTTTATTCCTTGTTACTATGCCTCTGTCACATTTACGTCGTCGTTCGAATGCAGCCTTATTCCCTCAAGTGGCGGCAATCCATTTGCTATTACATGAGATACGTAATTTGTTACGCTGAAATTCTAATAAAAAAAATCTGATGTGTACACCACATGACTTCCTTGTACGGGATATTAAATTATACGCATTTTTTCTTGCATTTTCTTTAAACTTTTTGGATTCAATTAAATCTACTTCGCCGACAGTGCATAAACCACAACAGAATAAATGCATTCTTTAAAATACACTCTATTTCTTTACCATAGCGACTCTGGCGCTAGGTTCACTTAACAGTATTATATTTCGTTCATATTATAAATCAGAATGCACAAAATTTATATCATTTAAAGAATTATCTAATCGTTGCCACATGTTCTATGCAAATACTATAATAAGGCTAGAACGATGTATAAAAGAAATTAAGCAAACAAAACCAAAAATAAACAGTTTTTTCACAGACGATTGAGTATTTCTCATTCAATTAATTCAATTCTGACTTCCCGAGTAGGCAAAAATACATAAAAACTCAAAATATCTGTATTAAAAATTACGAAGTAAATCTTAAACACTTATTTCCTCGAAAAAATTCCAGAAACGATTAAGCATGATTTAATTCGCAATAATAAATGTTATCTTTGTTTTTGCGAAGCTAAGTTTCTTTAGATTGTCAACAAATCCACTATTGAGCTGTTTCAAATGTAAACAAGCAATGGCCGCCATCAAAAAAATCATTACGCTTAGCGGCACTTAAACAACTTTAAAATTGTTGATAATTCTAAAAATATTGCATGCAGATTTACTAAAGGCATAAAAACCTAAACCGGAAGATAAGAACAGCATAATTCAATCATTTTCAAAGCAAAAGTGTACAATTTACAAACATATAAGAGTAAAGAAACTGAGCCGGGTAACAGAGTGGATATATCTATAAATATACTTAGATACGTTTGGTGCGACCGATCGCAACCAAATTACGAGGTGCACATCTACATGTTATTGCAGTCCTATATACAAAATTTCAACGTTCTGAGGCTACTCGTTTTTGAGTTATCGAGATACGTACGTACCTACGTACATACGTTCGTACAGACGCCACGAAAAATTCTCTTCAGAATTCATTTTAAAGCAATTTTCTAATTTTTTTGGAGGAAAAAGAGTCTTATTTTGTCCTTACGTACAGATATCACGCAAATACATCGTTAAATTGCATTCGATAGCGGTCAAAAAGGATATTTCCGTTGAAATATGCTGCCTGAAACTTTTCGCGATTGCAATACTTCCTTTTTACTTCGTACAAGGAAATAAAAAAGGTTGTTTAAACCGGATTGGTGTTATTTTACAGGAAGACCTTCGGATGGGACGATAAACAGCTTTTCAATGTTTACAGAGTCATGTTTTAGCGTTTGAAAGAGTGAACGTTCAATATTAAATGTTAATCTAGGCATGTAAGTATGGACGCATCTCAGAAGAACATTTTAAGATGATGGGAAAGAATCGCCTTCTGTTGGAGCCAATAGGGTATATCAAAATACATTACTCACAAACAGAATACACTGCTAACGGAAATGACTCCAAAAATTTAGTACCAAAATAATTCTTTAGTATTATCATTTATCGCTCGAAGAAGAGTTTTCTTTTTCATTTTAACATGCATTTCCTACAGAACTTGCGTGATAGGTTATCGGAAAATGTCTCACCATTTTATTCTTTGGTCCACATATGGAGAGAGCAGCAGTTCCTTCGACGTGTGACAGCAATCGTCCGTAATAATGACACGTATCCGTTGAATCGTGACCAGATGGGACAGTTGCATTTGACTGCAACAAGTGATTGTTTGCCTGTAGTTGAATATAAAATGTCTCTGTAGGCGTTCTAAGGACTAGTATGGGATGGCTATTTGAACTCAAGGATCTCTTGTGCTTGTGTTGAGTTACATGCAATCGAGGATAAACAATCTCTTTCTGATCTAAAAATACAGAATGTAGTTAATTTAGTGACCATATAAAAACTCTAGAAAAGATCTCATTGTTTTTATCATTTTGTGATGGCAATAAAATAACATTTCGCTCGGAGCTCGGCCATATAACATTTCTCTATTTCCATGATACTGTATTAACAAAAAGTAGAGAAGCTTTAAGGCGTATCAGAAACTCGTATACTGACAATGTTAAATTGACCATTTTCGATGTACCATTTCTCAAAATCTGCTGTAGATACAAGCTTGAATTTTTTTCTGTTATTAAAGTATACCAATCTGATTACACTGAAATGTGCTTTTGAAACATTTTGAATTTTAGAGTAAATTACAGGATATTTTGTTAGGCATAGTAAAATTTAGCACTTTTCTCACACAAAAAAATTTAATTTTTTTTTTATAAGTTTATTACAAAAATCTCATTTCAGTAAATATTAGGGAACCTAATAAATAAGCCATAAAAAGTTTAGATACCTGTGAGCAGTAGTTTCGGAGAAAAGGTACATCGAGTATAAAAAAATCACGTTTGGAGAAAAACGCGTTTTTATGTAAAAATCCTCATTGATCAAAGCAGTAGATGACAAATTAAAACTAGATTTTTTTTTTACAGTTCTAATTTTCATAGAGATTAAAGAATGGTATTTTTAGAAAGATAAAAGCGTAGAGAATTTGAAAATGCAATAATCCGAAAGCACAATATTTTGAAGATTTTGGGGTTCCAACTTCCCTTAAAGTTCAGAAAAGAACACATTTAGAATACTAGTATCATATTAATGTTAGTATTTTATCTTATATAAAATTGTTCATGTGTATTTCTGTATCTACTCTTGCGGAAAAATGGTAGAAAAAGGCGTATATGATCGAATTTTGAGATTTTGTCTAAAATCGTGAACTTTAATCACAGCGAAAACTCTGATGCCATTTCATCATTTAAATCTACGTTAAATATATCCTCAAAAACGTTATACGTGATATTTGTTCTAAAATTAAACAGGCTTGTACATTAAATTAAAGCGGAACTACATGACTTTTCAAGTTCAGTTTCTTAAAAACTTTGTTTAAAAAAATCTGAAGGCTTTCAGATTTTATGTTACGCCCAAAGGGGCTTTTTTTAACGTTTTGTGTGTTACTTTTGTTTATTAATATTTATGTTTTTCGCACTTAAACCATAAATTTCAATTCAACAGCAATATCACAAAATAATTTTAAAAACGCATTTTTTTAGAATTTCCGATAGACAGTCTAGTGTGCTGAAGATAAAAATGCTTTTTGCTTTCGTACACTGTTGCCATTGCTCGCTTTGAAATCGTTGAGTTTCTTAAGCAAAAACTCATAAATGTTTTACAAAATATGAAATAGATAATAAAACAAATTCCAAGTTCGGGTGGAGACGTACGTTATTCAAAATTGGATGGCTCTAGGTAACGTTGCTTTATCACAATGCGAGAAACAAACATACATTTATGCAGATTCTTCATTATTTAATTTCTTTGAATATAATGCAGGGCTGTAATATTTCGTGGCAACAATTTAAAAAGTGATTCAGACTTTTAAATTTTTCCACGAAAAATGCCGAAACGAAAATTAGTAACCCTTTTGAGCTAACGCCATTTGGACTAATAAGCAGAATTATATGCTCGGTATGTCGTGAAAATACAATACTTGAAATAAAATATACGAAGAAGTAACTTAGATGCCAAATTTGTTTTTTTTTGAAATGTTTGCAGTAAATATAAAAAATAAAGTTTATTTTGATGAAATTAATATTACAAATTACATTTGATTTTAGTCTAAAATCAGAAAAAGTTATAAGGCATAATTTTTAATGACTGTAGAAAATTAATTTAATAGTCATTAAGATAACCTATTTCGGCTAAAATCTCAATTGGTTTTTATTTAATATTTTTAAAGGCCACATACCAGGTTTTCTGACAGAGGACAAACTAGAAGTTATTATCTTTTCACACCGGGAGCCAAAGTTGAAAGGGCAAATTCAAGATACAGTTTTCACCCTTTTTTAAGATTATTTTTTAACGAAATGATTTTAAACATTTCAATATATTATTTTTTAACGAAATGATTTTAAACATTTCAATATATCTGGAGAATCTGACAAAGTATTTTTATTACCTATTTTTTCATTTTCGTTTGTCTAATATGTCACGTAATTTTCAGGTTAAAACTTTAGATGAGTGTTTTGATTAATTGTCTTTTTATGATTTATGTTCACAGCAACCATGATAACTACAAAAAAAAACCTGTTTGTAAAAAATGTAAAATAAAAAATATGCTTTTATCATTTTTTTCTTCTCAGTGATAGTTTAGATTTTTTTGCTAATTTCGATATAAAATTTTCAGTTTTTTGCATAAATTTCATAAAATAATGAATTTTTTATGACTTTTGTAGTGATTACAATCCAATAAAAAAATCTCATAAATTCAGAAGTATAACAAACATTTTGTAAATTACCCTTCGAACGAGGTCGGTTACCTTAGCAGCAAAGTTATAAAAGTTGTAGGTTGTAAAAGTTGTTGTCATAAAGTTGTAGATAATAAAAATTCCCTATTAAATTAAGAATAATATAATTAAAAGAATAATTTTAAAATGAGTATGAAAATAAAGTATTCAATATAAAGTTACCTTGCCATTTTCCCAAATGTTTCATGATAGTTGGCTTCATTAATGGATGGCACTAAGGGAGAAAAAAAATATGTATCCATTACATTAATAAATACACTAATTTCCGTTATTGAATATACTAAGAAAAGAAAAGTGCTAAAGACATAAGATCGTTTAATTTACGATCGATTTATAAGGCGCTCTATGAATTGCTTTGTTATAGATAATTAATCAAATATCCCTATATTCATGATTTGGTATAGTTCATGTGATTACGGTAAAGCCTCTACGGTTATCGGCTTAATGAGTGGGATGCCTTTGTGGAGGACTTTCTAAGGGTAACTGGCTCGTATACACGTTGCACATGGAGAAATCCACGAAAACGTCCATGCAATCAGCCCGTTCGCGGTGATCGAACTACCAGCGTTCAGCGACTTTACCCGACCCTCGGACCAAACTACCAGTGTTCAGCGGCTTTACCGCTGGTGGGCCCCTTTATTAATGGATAGCATCTTAACATGTCGCTTATCCGCATTCTATTAAGTAATTAACAGAAAGAAAGAAATTTAGCTTTCTTAAAATTTTGATAAATCCAGAGTTATGATTCTTTTTTACTTAAGGAGTACTGTAATCTTAAGGAGTACTGTGAAGTAAAGGAAGTACTGTAATGACAAAAAATTCCAGGCACCATATTTCAAAGAAAATATCCATTTTGATAGTTATGGAATGCAGTTTAACGATGCTTTTTGCGTGACAAATGCACGTATGGATAGAATAAAGGACTCTTTTTTTCCCAAAAAAAAAATTATAAAACTGATTTAAAATGAATTCAGAAAAGATTTTTTTTTCGTGACGTCTATACGTATGTATATATGTATCTCGAATAACTCAAAAACGAGTAGCCTCAAAATGTTGAAATTTTGTGTTTAGGACTGCTATAACATGTAATTGTGCACACCCATTTTTGACTGCAATCGGCCGCACCAAAAGTGTATATACATATATATATATATATATATATATATATATATATAAAGTGTAATTATATATATATATATATATATGCCCACTCTGTTACTCGGCTCATTGAGCTGAGATTTTAATTCTCATCCTCTTTTGCTTTAAAAATAATTGAATTATGTTGCTCTTATCTTCCTGTTAAGGTTTTTATGCCTTTAGTTAACCTGCATGCAATAGTTGTAGAATTATCAACAATTTAAAAGGTGTTTAGTGCGGCTAAGCCTAATTATTTTACGATAGCAGCCATATTTGTTTACATTTGGAACTTAGCAGAATAGTGGATTTGTTATCAATCTAAAGAAACTAAGCTTCGCAACAACAACTGTTTCATTTTTATTTGTCTAATTTCTTTTATACATCGTTTTAGATTTATTATAGTATTTGAATAGAACATATAGCAACGATTAGATAATTCTTCAGATGATATAATTTTTGCGCATTCTGAGTTATAAAATGAATGAAATGTAACGCTGTTAAGTGAACCTAGCACCAGAGTGTGGCTATGGTAAATAAATATAGTGAATTTTAAAGAGTGCATTTATTCTATTGTGGTTTATGCGCTATGGGCGAAGTAGATTTAATTTAATTCAATAAGTTTAAATGAAGTGCATTAAAAATGCGTATAACTTAATATTGCTTGCAAGGAAGTGATGTAGTGTACACATCAGAGATTTTAATTAACATGTAGCTCATTAACATTTAAGTTTTCCTGAATAGCTTAGAAGTATAACATTTATTTCTAGTGTTTTTTTTTTTTTTTTTTTTATCTCACATTTTTGGAAAAGCTTTCCACAACTTTACCTGCCAAATAAGTATTTTAATCGAATTTTCTGCTGTAACATTCGGTAAATGTGCTAGAGAAAACAATTTTTTGAAAGAATTAATTTCCCTTTTTCAAACGTGATACATGTGTTATGAATGTGGTATATTTTATAGTGGATAATTGAGAAACAATTAAGAAAAAAATATTAAAAATACGATGCAATGTATAAATACAAATGCAATGTATAATTATTAAATAAGTACTGATGCAATGTAATAAATAAATAATTAAATAAATACCGATGCAATGTATAAATATTAAAAATACGATGCAATGTGTAAATACCATATGTATGCATTATAAAGCAGTGCATTATTTTCTACTGTACGCATTTGACACATTTTACTCCGGCAAAATTCCAGCCTGCAGACTAATTAGGACTACAGTCAATCCAGATATTCGAAAAATCTGGTTATCCTGCATGTGGGATACTTATTTACTGTAATTCATGGGTGATAATTTTAATTTATTGTTCATAATACGTTAACAGAAATTTTACAGTAAAAAATATTATTATTTCCTCAGATAAAACACAGAATCTGAATATTTACACATAAAATAAAAGCATGCGACAATGTTTCAAATGAAATGAAACTGTGTTATTCATATAAAATTTGGAGCTAACAGCATAATTGTTTTTACTGTAATTGTAATTAAATTAAAAAAAGAAGCTACATTTTAATTTAGAAGTTAAACAACAAAAATCAGCGTTATATTTTCAAATTTCACAGGACTATTTTCGATGATTTTACCGAACCATCATCCTCAGCTGCAAAAGCGCAAATGAAATTTGTTATTTGACTTCTAAATTAATATTCGTTCGGCGTGTTATTTTACTTCAGCTACATTTTGTTTGCTTAAGCAAATCGTGTAACTTACGATTTAATTTAATTTAAGAGCATTTTAAAAATTTGCATAGTTTTCTGCTCTATGCTTCCATGTTAAGCATTTAAATCAAAGTGAATGGTTACCTGATTTTATTTTAAGAAGAATAATTAACACTGTCACTGTATGCGTCATTAGTATTATATAAAAATCATATGACAGGTATCAATTTTGACACGATGCATCTATAAAGCTTTATTATAAGCCTATTACTATTTTAGGACATAAAAAGAAAATAACTAAATTAAAAAAGATAGACTTAAGGAACTATTACAAATTAAAGTTCGAAATTTAGCTCCACAAATTTTTAGTACTGGGTATGCAGGGTGTCTCAGTACATCGTTATAAACTTGTAGAAGGTCATAATAGTCAGAATACAGGGAAGACCCAATCCTCCTAGTCCCACTGGACCATATGATTATAAATGGTCGACCCCCTCAAGACCACAAAAGGAAAGAAGAGAGAAAAAGAAGCTAATTAACTAAAAATAATTGGAGGTTAATTAACGAACTAAAAATAAGGAAGAGACATACAAACAACGAAGCACAACACCAAACATTCAAAATCCAAAAACAATTAAAAACCCCACGGGCAAACAGAGTGGCGGGAACTCTCAAGAAACATTCTTTCACATGAATTTTCGGAACAGGCACAAGCGGTCCAAAGCCATCGAGGAATTCCCAATTTAAATAACCTGCAGAACGTCAAACCGAATTCCCTACAGTATTACTTTAATAGCATATTATTTGTATAATCATAATTCTATTTAAACTATTAATTTATTTTAAAATTTCATTTTAATAGTCCTACCACTATCTGAATTCAAATGTATTAATTATCTTTAATAATCATAGAAAAGAAGCTCCAGGACTGCCAATAACCAAAACTGGAAAAATTTAAGATTGCCATGTTAAATAACCTGCAGAAGGTCAAACCGAATTCCCTACAGTATTACTTTAATAGCATATTATTTGTATAATCATAATTCTATTTAAACTATTAATTTATTTTAAAATTTTATTTTAATAGTCCTACCACTATCTGAATTCAAATGTATTAATTATCTTTAATAATCATAGAAAAGAAGCTCCAGGACTGCCAATAACCAAAACTGGAAAAATTTAAGATTGCCATGTTAAATAACCTGCAGAAGGTCAAACCGAATTCCCTACAGTATTACTTTAATAGCATATTATTTGTATAATCATAATTCTATTTAAACTATTAATTTATTTTAAAATTTTATTTTAATAGTCCTACCACTATCTGAATTCAAATGTATTAATTATCTTTAATAATCATTGAAAAGAAGCTCCAGGACTGCCAATAACCAAAACTGGAAAAATTTAAGATTGCCATGCTAAATAACCTGCAGAAGGTCAAACCGAATTCCCTACAGTATTACTTTAATAGCATATTATTTGTATAATCATAATTCTATTTAAACTATTAATTTATTTTAAAATTTTACTTTAATAGTCCTACCACTATCTGAATTCAAATGTATTAATTATCTTTAATAATCATAGAAAAGAAGCTCCAGGACTGCCAATAACCAAAACAGGAAAAATTCAAGATTGCCATGTATCATATTAAAACTTTAGTAATTACTCCATTAAGAACAACAGAATATAAGAAAAATTTTAAAACTTTAAAATTTCAGAACATTTTAAAATCAAAAACTACAATTAAAAATTTAAGAAAAATATAAAAATTCCATAAAATTTAAAATCCTAAAACTCAAAACCACCATTAATTTCGATAATTTAAATCTGGTAATCCATCAGGATTCTCAACATTTGCAAAGCCATATCTATGTAACAATTAACTGTATTTCCTCGAAATATTGTATGTATAAAACACCTACAATGCATTAAATTAAACAGTACACAGAAAAATTTCAAAATTTTCGTAGTAAACCTATAAATACTCATAACTGAGAATATAATACATATAATCAAAAGATAAATATACACAATACTAAACAAATATTCCAAATTCAACTCTATTAGAATTAATGAAATCCATTGCACATTTAGAATATGTTTTTTAAGATTTCCAAGTTCCATGACTTATCTCCCAGACATTTCTTTCTCATTGTAGAAGGTATCTGATACACCCAAAAACGAGTCAGAATCTCGTATCAAAGAGCCGGAAAAACTTAATGATATGATAGATGAGATGGCGTTGGTCGAAGCGCTCTGGCAACAAAGCTTCACTTCACACCTGGACGGAGAGCTAGTACAATTGGGCCATAACAAGAAGCGGAGTTTTCCGATATGAATCTGATATCCCATTTGACCATCTCACATATCATTTTTAGATATTCTATTTGGCCATCTAATGCTTCATTTTTCCATTTGGCTGAC